AAAAATTCAAAACAGAAAGTAAGAGTAATATCAGAGGGGCCTGGAGACATGACTAATGAACAAAGAAAATGTTATTTTAGAGCCAGGAATGTCTGCATTGTTCATTCTGGACCCTGTTTTGAAATTGTCATCTTTTTTAATTTTCGTGAAATTGGCCAAATTGCAAATTTCTGACCACATTATTGGGTAGTTGAAATCAGTAAATGGGCAGTTTCTTGTACTCAATCGATAGAAAAAATGGAGTTCTAAAGAAATAGCTAGGAGTTTGGTTGACTAGAACAATGGAATTAGCCGAAAATAGGACTCAAAGTGGGCGAAATCGCCAATTCATAAATATCGCTGAGGTTGCTGACTTTACAAGAGCGTAATTCCGTCAGTTTTCCATCAAATTTCATTCTTTTGGTGTTATTACAATTGGGAAAAGATTCTTTATCATTTCATAAGAATTTTTTTTTTTTTTTGGGGGGGGGGGAATTTTGCGACACCAGGAGACACCTCAGGATTTGGGGTTGCGACAGTCAAGGGGTTAAAGGAGGGGTTAGGGATATTGGTTGTTTGCAGTGACATCTAAACTGTCATATATGAGCACCTCTGCAAAGACATTGATTTTATATGAATGATGATGAAAGTTTTTTCTTCTTCTTTTTGGATTTTTCTTTCTTTTTTGGATCACCCTGCCTCAGTGGGAAATGGCTGACGTATTAAACAAAACAAAACAAAACAAATATTACAAGTATGTTGTATTTGAGATCATGTGCAGGATTAACATTATGCAGAAACTGGGGAGGCAGGAAATTAAAAAAAAAGTAGTAGTGGTGGTATGAAAATTATAAGATAGGTAAGATAGGAAAGCCTTCAGAATTGATCACAGGTAGAATCACTTGGAGAACATATAAATCTGTAGTGGAAGGAAAGCAGGGTAGGGGTCGCTCTAGGAAAGGTTGGAGGGAGAGGGGTAAAGGAGGTTTTGTGGACGAGAGGCTTGAACTTCCAGCAAGCGTGCATGAGCATGTTAGATAGGAGTGAATGGAGACAAATGGTTTTTGTGACCTGACAAGCTGTTGGAGTGTGAGCAGGGTAATATTTTGTGAAGGGATTCAGGGGAACTGGTTAGCTAGACTTGAGTCCTGGAGGTGGGAAGTACAATGCCTGCACTTTAACCCTTTGACTGTTTTGGTCATATACATACATCTTACGAGCCACCGTTTTTGACGTATATATACATTTATAAATTCTAGCGGCTTCAAATCAAGCAGGAGAAAGCTGGTAGGCCCACATGTGAGAGAATGGGTCTGTGTGATCAGTGTGCACCATATAAAAAAAATTCTAGCGGCTTCAAATCAAGCAGGAGAAAGCTGGTAGGCCCACATGTGAGAGAATGGGTCTGTGTGATCAGTGTGCACCATATAAAAAAAAATCCTGCAGCACACAGTGCATATTGAGAAAAAAAAACTACGACTTTTTTTTTTAATTTAAATGCCGACTTTGTGGTCTATTTTCGTATAGTATTTATGGTTGTATTCTCGTTTTCTTGGTCTCATTTGATAGAATGGAAAACATATAGAAATAGAGGTGATTTTGATTGGTTTTCCTGTGAAAAGAACCTTGAAATGGAGCTCAAAGTAGGGGAAATGTTTGATTTTTGCCGATGTTCAAAAGTAAACAAATGATGTCATTTTTCAATAAATGTCCAAGTAGCCATTCTAATATGCAGTCAGTAATGGGTTGACATTATTTATACAATTATTACAATATTGCAGTAGTCTGCATAACAGTAAATAGTATTCTATTTTTTGTTTGAATAAAAATTCAAAACAGAAAGTAAGAGTAATATCAGAGGGGCCTGGAGACATGACTAATGAACAAAGAAAATGTTATTTTAGAGCCAGGAATGTCTGCATTGTTCATTCTGGACCCTGTTTTGAAATTGTCATCTTTTTTAATTTTCGTGAAATTGGCCAAATTGCAAATTTCTGACCACATTATTGGGTAGTTGAAATCAGTAAATGGGCAGTTTCTTGTACTCAATCGATAGAAAAAATGGAGTTCTAAAGAAATAGCTAGGAGTTTGGTTGACTAGAACAATGGAATTAGCCGAAAATAGGACTCAAAGTGGGCGAAATCGCCAATTCATAAATATCGCTGAGGTTGCTGACTTTACAAGAGCGTAATTCCGTCAGTTTTCCATCAAATTTCATTCTTTTGGTGTTATTACAATTGGGAAAAGATTCTTTATCATTTCATAAGAATTTTTTTTTTTTTTTGGGGGGGGGGAATTTTGCGACACCAGGAGACACCTCAGGATTTGGGGTTGCGACAGTCAAGGGGTTAAAGGAGGGGTTAGGGATATTGGTTGTTTGCAGTGACATCTAAACTGTCATATATGAGCACCTCTGCAAAGACATTGATTTTATATGAATGATGATGAAAGTTTTTTCTTCTTCTTTTTGGATTTTTCTTTCTTTTTTGGATCACCCTGCCTCAGTGGGAAATGGCTGACGTATTAAACAAAACAAAACAAAACAAATATTACAAGTATGTTGTATTTGAGATCATGTGCAGGATTAACATTATGCAGAAACTGGGGAGGCAGGAAATTAAAAAAAAAGTAGTAGTGGTGGTATGAAAATTATAATTCAGAGGCAAGGGAAAGGTTATTAATATAGTTTGGTCATTGGAAAAAGTTGTAAATAGGTTACCTGGAGAGAGTTCCGGGGGTCAACGCCCCTGCGGCCCGGTCTGTGACCAGGCCTCCTGGTGGATCAGAGCCTGATCACTCTGTCACATCTGTATAGGTTGTAACCTGGGATCCATATTTTGTTGTCCAAGTGATCCTTTATGTGGGTCTCAGTGAAAGCCACGAACATTGCCTTTGCCTCTGCAAGCAGTCCATGGATGAAAGGTATTTTGTTGTTGCTGGCTTTAGACCCTGTATATTTGCAAAGAAGAATGTCATCGGACTGGTGGTATTGTTGGTACTGGGGGGGATTTTTTTTCCGGCATTAGTATCTGTATCTGTTGGTTTGGAGTGGAGGCCATCGACTGTGGTTCCACTCCAGGAATGACTGGATTTGGTGTACAATTTCTGCCATTTCCTGCCAGTTTTTTTTCCTTCCTGGCACTAAAAAACCTCTCCCTCTTGAGTGGCTGTGGCTAACCAGGTTTTCCCATGGCCTGGATGTTTTGTATCTTTTTGTCCCCTTTAGATGGTGTGCCTGGCAATTTAAGTTATAGCACAGTCTTTCTTGTACTGAAGAGGTACACATTTCAGGGTGAAAAAGCTTACAGGAAGGGAGTTTGCATTTTCCTGTTGTCATATGGGCACGGCATTTTCTAGGGTGGTCATAGTTGCACGTCCCGTCTGTTTTTTCCAGATTTCCCATGTCTGCAGATACCAAGTGCATAGTATGTGCACAGGCTTGGTTTCTGTTTGCCTTGGGTTTCTGTGACTGTATTCCCTGTTGGTGCATGTTTACCTGTCTTATTCCTATCCTCCCTAGCACCAACAATGGAGCTCCCACCAGTTGTTTTTGGTAATATATCCTCACTATTGCTAGTGGAGTCCTCTTGTTCGCTATTTCCTGTGGTATTTCTAGTTTGCAATACTGGTTTTATCTTATCTTTGACTACACTTGTTTACCCCCTATGGCTCCTGTCCCCTATGGGGTCATTTATATGTATTCCTTCCTGCGTATAATTCCCGACTACCTGGAAAAATCTCCAGCTTCACCATTACTGTCTCCCAGGACAGCACCTCCAGCTTCACCATTACTGTCTCCCAGGACAGCACCTCCAGCTTCACCATTACTGTCTCCCAGGACAGCACCTCCAGCTTCACCATTACTGTCTCCCAGGACAGCACCTCCAGCTTCACCATTACTGTCTCCCAGGACAGCACCTCCAGCTTCACCATTACTGTCTCCCAGGACAGCACCTCCAGCTTCACCATTACTGTCTCCCAGGACAGCACCTCCAGCTTCACCATTACAGTCTCCCAGGACAGCACCTCCAGCTTCACCATTACAGTCTCCCAGGACAGCACTATCAGCCCCACATTTACTGACTACCAGGGCATCACCTCCAGCCTTACAGTTTCTGACTACATGGCCAGTATCAAGGGCAGTACCATTCAGCCCAGACTTTTATGTTCCCATCTGTTGTAGAAAGCTTCCAGGTTTTCTATGAAAGCAGCTTTGATGTTATCCTCTTTTAATACCCTTGTGATTTTAGTCCACAGATTTATCTCATTTGGGCATACCCAAAAACACTTCCCTGTTTTAATACTGCCTGTAGCTAGTTCTTGGATATCTGCACAAGGGGCGTGACACCAATTTCCACAAAAATGACAATTTATCCATGTGGAAGCCCGTTTGTTTGATTGACTGCAGACTACACAGAGCTTCATAATGATTTGAATGGTTGATTTACTGTAATTCTACTAGCAACCTCTTGAATACTCTATTAATAACCTTAAATGAAGCTCTAGCTATTTGTATTTCTATTTCTAACTGTACTTGTATATTGGACAGCTTACCGGTGTAGGTTCCTGATTTATATTTATTGTTTGTGTTTGATAAGGGCACCTACAACCCCATCCGTTTACAGTCTGCTTTATTGTCCAACGAATCCGTTTGAAACCAATCAAGGGTTCGGACCCTAAACCCACTAAGGTCAGGTTGACCAGTAGGGTGTTTAAATGTAGGGTGGTGAATGAGAGGAGGCATAGATGTGTGAGGAAGCATTGGAATTTGAAAAGAAGCTTTAAGTACATTACTAAGAGTTTTAGTATCTTGCAAGCATATGTGTGTGTATATTTAAGTGGAGAAAAGATTGTTTATTTGACGTGCTATTGGAGTGTGAGCAATTTACCTTTCTTTCAGTTCTTCTCTTGTATTAAATATTACTTGGACAACTGTTGTGTTGTCAAATTGTCTAACAACTGTCACTTCAATATCATCATTGTGTAGGAGTAATCAAAGCAGCAATTTTTGTTAAAACAGGTTACTGGGATGCTGCTAGAACTTCCTATTCCTACCATCACACAGTTGTTGAATAATGAAGAGGCTCTTAATGAAGCTGTTATCAAGGCTCGAGGTGAATATCTGAAATATATACAGGTTAGTAAAACACAAGAATGTTTTGATTAGAGTACTACAAATTTATTGATTATGCAGGAAAAGAGAGAATATATAATTGTATAAATTCAAAGATTGTGGAATAAAATAAGGTTTAGATGCCAAAAGTGAGTTACACTAAGTGTTTATGCACCTGGAGAAGAGAGGAGTGTAGAAGAGAGAGAGAGAGAGATTTGGGGAAATGTTAAATGAGTGTTTAGGGGAGTTTTGAACTAGGTGAGAGAGTAATTGTGGTGCAGGATCTAAGTGCTAAAGTTTGAGAAACTGTTGTAGAGGGTGTAATAGATAAGATTGGGGTGCTAGGGGCAAATGATAGTGTGTGAGGATAAAAAAGTATACAGTAGGGCCCCGCTTTATGGCGTTCCGCTAATACGGTCATTTCAAATTATGACCAAAACTCTCTATACGGCTCCCCACACCTGACTTTCTAATATGGTCACCGTGCTCCACCCGGTTTGTTTACATTCTATGTGAGATCCGTAAGCACTAAGGCTCTCCATTATGTCTGGAAACTCCAAAATTTCAATTGTTTTTAAAAGTTATTTCATATTTATATATACTCTGATAATTATACTTATGTATACCTGTACCTAAATAAATTTACATACTGTGCTGGCGTGCAGGTACAAATTAAAATCAGTAAGAGTGTTTTATGTCTCGAGACATCATATTAGTAATGATGATAATCGCCGAGTCTCATTAAATGTCGTATATTACGTTAATATACATATTTTCATTAATCCATCTATGATATTTTTTCAAAATTACAGTGGACCCTCAGCTAGCGATATTAATCCGTTCCTGAAAGCTTATCGTTAGCTGAAATTATTGTTAGCTGAATTAATTTTCCCCATAAGAAATAATGGAAATCAAATTAATCTGTGCAAGACACCCCAAAGTGTGAAAAAAAAAAAATTTTTACCACATGAAATATTAATTTTAATACACACAAACTGACACTTGCCTTTATTGAAGATCTGGTGATGATTGATGGGATGGGAGGAGGGGAGAGTGTGGAAGTTGTTAATGTTTAGAAGGGGAATCCCCTTCCATTAGGACTTGAGGTATCAAGTCCCTTTCTGGGGTTACTTCCCTTCTTCTTTTAATGCCACTAGAACCAGCTTGAGAGTCACTGGACCTCTGTCACACAACAGATCTGTCTATAGAGGTCTGTATCTCCCGTTCCTTTAAGATTTGCCTAAAATGGGCCACAACATTGTTATTGTAATAGTCACCAGCATGGCTTGCAATAGCTGTGTTAGGGTGATTTTCATCCATAAAGGTTTGCAGTTCAACCCACTTTGCACACATTTCCTTAATCTTTGAAGTAGACACAATGGATTCCACAACTGGCATAGGCGTCTCAGGGTTAGCCCCAAAATCTTTCTTAATTTCCATACTAATTCTCACCCTTTTTATAACAGGGTTGGCACTAGAAGCTTTCTTGGGGCCCATGGTGACTTATTTTGCAGGTACAATCACTAAAAACGCTGTGATAATATGAAATGTTCCGATTGTATGCGACCACAGTGGCTGGCTTGTAAATTCTGGCACCCACGGGACAACTGAGGCACGCTCAGGCCACACGTGGACGCGTCTCAACGAATCGCATTGGGCGAGTTTTTTAGCGTTAGCTGAGGCAAAAATTTTGCGTTAAAATGTATCGTTAGCTGGATTTAACGTTAGCTGATGCCATCGTTAGCTGAGGGTCCACTGTATATAATAAACACAATGCATAACATATAAAGATGATAAATACACCCCACAGTAGAATAAATAAACATAAATATGAGATGTGGTAGCAGACGACTTGCACAAGTGATGCCATATTAGAAATAATAATAATCACCGTGTTTCATCAAATGTTGTATATTACGTTAATATACACATTTTCATTAATCCATCCATGATATTTTTTTCAAAATTATATAATAAACACGATACATAACATATAAAGATGATAAATACACCCCACAATAGAATAAATAAACATAAATATGAGAGGTGGGAGCCAGACTTTTACGAGTGACGGCAAGAATAACATTTTCTCTAGTCCAACATCAGAGAAAATGTGTTACTGGGGGTAACTATAGAAAATTATTCCTTTTGTATGTCTGTAAGTTTATTCAGGTATACACAAATACAGTTACATAGATTATCACACATGACAGCATATGTGTAGAGAACCTAGGATAACCCAAAAAAGTCAGACAGAGTGACTTATTTCCATTGCCTTCACTCAGAGCGTCATTTCTTCTAAAAATGGTGTTATATGAGAATGGGAGTGTTCTTTATTTATTCTACCATATCAATGTAGAGACAACTTGCACACAATGTAACTTGTATACAAACCGGACGTGTACACTTAGTTTGTTTACAAAACTTACGTTCGCCTGGTTTGTTTACATAACTCTGCGCCTGTCCTCTCTCATGTACTCATTCTCTCTCATTTATTTGTTTTATCTCATTTACTCACCTCTGACCCTACATTAAGACTACAAATATTTTAAGGTAAGTAATGAGTGAACTGTATATGCATTTTTTTGCTCTGGGATGCTTAAATATCATAGAATAGTCTGTGTGGGTGGGGTGGCCTGGTATGGTAGCCCGGCTGACTACCATACATACCACACTTGATTTCTTACAATAAATACTACTTGTCTCACCCTAGATTAAGACTACAAATATTTTAAGATAAGTAATGATGTGTGTATTTTACTTTTTTATTGTTTTTGATGCCTAGTTCTATTGCTAACTTAATATAAGAACATAAGAAAGAAGGAACACTGCAGCAGGCCTGTTGGCCCATACTTGGCACGTCCTTTGCAATCCATCCCACTAATAAAACAGTTGCCCAACCCAATTTTCAATGCCACCCAAGAAATAAGCTCTGATAACTCTATCCACTCTCATATACAACTCCCACTCAAATCCAACCCCTCTCACTCGTGTATTTATCCAACCTATATTTGAAGCTACCCAAGGTTTTAGCCTCAATAACCCAACTAGGTAGACTATTCCACTCAACTACCCTATTTCCAAACCAATACTTTCCTACATCCCTTCTAAATCTAAACTTGTCCAATTTGAATCCATTACTGCGGGTTCTCTCCTGGAGAGATATCCTTAAGACCTTACTAATATCCCCTTTATTAATACCCATCTTCCACTTGTACACTTCGATCATGCCTCCCCTCATTCTTCGTCTAATATACATATTAGTGTAAACTTGTTATCTAGTATTTGTATGCATTTATAAGGGAAAAAAAAGGTGATCCACTTTACGGCAATTTCCGCTTTACGGCGGTAGCCTGGAACCTAACTCTCTGGGAGTGGACGTGTCAGCAGATGGGTCTATGAAAGATGAGGTGAATCATACAGTTGACAAGGAAAAAAAGGTGAGTGGTGTACTGAGCCTGTGGAGACAAAGAACTTTATGCATGGAAGCAAAGAGGGGAATGTATGAGAGTATAGTTATACCAATGCTCTTATATGGGTGTGAAGCATCGGTGGTGAATGTTGCAACAAGGAGAAGGCTGGAGGCAGTGGAGATGCCATGTCTGAGGGCAATGTGTGGTGTGAATATAATGCAGAGAATCCGTAGTTTGGAGATTAGGAGGAGGTGCAAGATTACCAACACTATTATCTTGAAGGCTGAGGAGGGTTTATTGAGATGGTTCAGACATGTAGAGAGGGTGGAAAGAAATAGAATGACTTCGGAGAGTGTATAAATCTGTAGTGGAGGGAAGTCAGGGTAGGGGTCAGCCTAGGAAAGGTTGGAGGGAGTGGGTAATGAGGTTTTGTGTATGAGGGGCTTGGACTTCCAGCAACATGCATGAGCATGTTAGAAGCAAATGGAGACAAATGGTTTTTAGGACTTAATGTGCTGTTGGAGTGTGAGCAAGGTAACATTTATGAAGGGATTCAGGGAAACCAGCAGACCGGACTTGAGTCATGGAGATGGGAAGTACAATGCCTGCACTCTAAAGGAGGGGGTGTTAATGTTGCAGTTTTATAACTTAGTGTAAGGATGCCTCTGGCAAGACAGTGATGGAGTTTATGATGAAAGTTTTTCTTTTTCAGGCCACCCTGCCTTGGTGGGAAATAGCCAATGTGTTAAAAAAAAAAAAAACGTTTTTCTTCAGAAGATTGTGAATAAGAGTGTGTTCTAAATTTTAAATGTAAATTCCCAAATCTGGGAGAGTTCAGGATTAGAAATACTGAATCACCAGTACTGTATTATAACTACAATTATAAATGTTGAAACTTGAATAATTATAATTATTATTACAATCAAAACTTAAGTGCTAAACCCACAGGGGTCATACAGTGAGGTAACTTGAATAAAAACTTTTCAGAATGAAGGTCATACAGACGTTCCACTGGCATCACCCATAACTCTTAGCAAGGAGAAAGAGGAGTTGGGAGAAGTTATATATGAAAAAATAGTGTCAAAGTATCCCCAGGAGGCAGCCAAGTTAACAGGGATGCTTTTACAAATGGATTACAAAGATCTTTTACGTGTCATTGCCGAGCCAGAGCTCCTCAAGAAGAAAGCTGAATTAGCTTTTAGTGTTCTTAGAGCTGAAGGTGAACAACATCACTAAAATTGTTTTGAAAGGTATGGTATGAAGGTTAGAAATCAAAGGCTTTATACTGTAAAATTTTTATAATGACTACTGTATAATGTCTTATAGTTTTTTAATAATGGTTTATATAGATTTAAAAAATGGTACTCCAAAATGGATGAGATTGGGGTAATGGAATATCGTGTGAGAACAGGAATGTTCTCATGAAATAACAGGTACATAATGGAAAAACTGCATGAAGTAACATGCAGAAATTTTGAATATATGAACCCCCTGAAGGCAGTTCCTTTTCGTGGTGGGGGGATTACGGCCTTTGTTGACACCTTAGACTGAACTGGTAGGGACTTCCTTCACCAGGGTGGCCCTGGTTTGCAAAGGCTTACTGAACACTGCCTTGTGTTTGCCATACATAAAGACCCATATGTGTTCTCATTTCTGATTGAATGGAAGTTAAGCCTGTGCAGATATCAGTACCAATATATTTTAAAGGATAAAGTTTCTCCTATTTACAAAAAAAAAATGCAAAAAAAAAACAAAAATAAATGTACTGTACATCATGATACAAACTATTTAATATCAACATTTCCAAATGTAGAGATTATGGTTAAAAGTAATTTTGTCAATGTCAGTTTCAAATGCAAGAGGCAGGGTTCTTTTTTTCTGATTTGACCAGAGATAAAATGATCTTTATTTTATTTTTACTTCAATAGAAATGCCCAGGATTCCCAAATCTCAAAATGTGCCAGCCACAGTGCACTGTGCTTGTATAGTTTCCTTATTTACTGTTGAATTACATGGTTGTGATCAGTTTGATTTTTAGAGTATTTATTGTAGAGGCCTCAATATTTTTTTCTTTTTGTAGAACTAAGTGAACACAAGGGTTAATGCCTTGATCATTGCTAAATTCCCTCTGCCAGCTAATATTTCTGGTTGCTACAATATAGTTATATTTTGCCTCCCTAGGAGTGCATATTCCCCACTTACTAACCAATGTTAACAATATAGATCTTTTTACTAGTATCACTTAATGGTTTGTTAGAACTCTCAGAAGATAATAACACTAGATGCATTACATATAGAATTTTTTCATTTCATAAATAATATAAAATCTCTTGCAGTTTTTCCTTCTTGTCATCGCCCCATCTTGTCTCTGGATATTTATCATGGCTGCCAAACGAAGTGTAGATGATATTTGTGAAGCATGGACGATGATTAAGTGTGACAATATAGTTATGAAAACAAAGGAAGTAATTATGATGCTGAAGAGTGGTGCAAGCATCATGGATATGGCACACACATTTGACGTTTAGATAATCAATGATTTGGTCAACTTGAGAGACTGAGGCAACAATAAGGGCTTGTGCAATGAGTAATCCTCAGCATGATATCGTGAAAAGAATGGGGAATAGGTCCACAGCCACCCTCTCCAATATGTTAAGCATCCTGAACTCGACTTGAAGGGAAGTAAGAAATAATGTACAGTACAGTATTAACGTAATTATTTTTTAGCTCGTGACTTTTTTTAAACTGAACCTTGCCAGAGTTCACTCATTTCACAACGCATCATCGTAGATAATGTTAGGTGAGAAAAATTATTGTTATAGCTCTTTCTATTTTTTCCATGTTTTTCTGTTCAAAAGTGGAAATCATTAGTAGTACAATTTTCAGGAACATAACTCATGTGAATTATGATTATATGCTTTATATTTAATTACTTTAATGAAGATATAGCAACTCATGTCCACTCAGATGATGCATCCTAGTGACACTTTGAAGGCTAATTCAAGCACATTCTGAGGTATGGATTCGTGAAAGCATACATAAACTTCTCGCTGATATGGTGCAACAAGCAGACGCCTGAAAAAAAAAAATGATGTAATGAACTGTCCTTTCACTTTTTGCAGTGGGGGGGTTACCCCAATTGGAATATATAAATCCCTATTCACACAACTAATGCTTGCCTCTGAGGCCAAATAACATTCATCTTAAATTTGGTAATATACCTTTTTACCCCCATAAAGGAATTGTTTGAAATGCAATGAAAACCTTGAGATATGATACGCATTTGTGTTTTAACTACACCAACATCTGTGTTACCAAGTTATCATGGTCCCTAAAGTGCATAATAAACAAGCCATTTCTTTGAAGATCAAGCAAGAAATTGTGAAAATTTTTGCATGTAATTACTTAGTGCATTGGTCATAATGGCTTTCCATAATCAACCATTATCAAGCAAATAGAAATTATAAAGAATATTAAAGTGACTGACAAATCTAGTGAAAAAAAGGCAGAGAAATTATCACAGAGATGGAAAATGCAAATCCATTGTGCAGTAAAAGTTGTACTTTCAGGGTCTGGAAGTGAATTACCATAAAACTATGTATTTTGGGGTTTGAGTTATAATAGTTTTGAGGTACAATGTCTTCTGGAACTAATTAATACTGGAACTTGAGGGACCACTGTATTAGTATTCTGATGTGAATGTGACACAATAGCATCTTAAAACAGAAAACTTTTATCTTATTTCCAGATAGACCCAACTGGAAAAAAAATAGTTCAACAATATATGTAATGAGAATTTCAAATTAATTTTATGTAGGATAATTAGTCAGACTTGAGTCCTGGAAATGGGAAGTACAATGCCTGCACTTTAAAGGAGGGGTTTGGGATATTGGCAGTTTGGAGGGATATGTTGTGTATCTTTATATGTATATGCTTCTAAGCTGTTGTATTCTGAGCACCTCTGCAAAAGCAGTGATAATGTGTGAGTGTGGTGAAAGTGTTGAATGATGATGAAAGTATTTTCTTTTTGGGGATTTTCTTTCTTTTTTTGGGTCACCCTGCCTCGGTGGGAGACGACCGACTTGTTGAAAAAAAAAAAAAAAAAATAGCAAGTGCAATTTGCTTAAAAATATCCTCAATACATGGGAATCTAATAATGCATTTTTGCTTACCCAACAACCCAATAAGAAAAGGATTGGGTTCTTCTCTTTCCTATATTCCCGGCATCAGTACTAGGAGGAGTGTATGTGAACAACACCCCATGTTCCTTGATACCATTAAGTGCTGTGCTGCCACTGTAGTTTCCACTGGGTTCCTAAAACAAAGAAAATTTAATAAGGGATGAAAATAAAAACACTACAGTATTCACCAGAAGTGAACTACTGCTAGCAAAGTACTACAGTACTTGACCATATACAGTTCATTAATGCATTTATCATAAAACCCCTCATTTAATGAGCTTTGTAAACACTGGACAAAATAAGATGAGCCAGAGTCTGTTGTTTACAGAAATGTCTGTTATTGTTCAAATCAAGGAAAAAGTCTCATTTCTAACCATCACATTTGCCATTACCAGCTGCAACCCCATTAGTCCAAGGGAGTATTGTACTGGCTTTATGGCCAATGTGTGGTGCATTGGCCAACCTATACCTGTCAAAAAGTTTATAGCCTATGGCACACAAACTCAGAAAATACACTGCAGTATCATAGAATTACAAATGTTTTTAATTCTACTCCTATTCAACCTTTAGGCTCACTGGATGTTGAAAATATGCATGTGAAATTGTTAAAAATTACTGATGGTCTTATCAGGTTTAATGTCGGAAGAGCACATGTTCCATAGAGTAAATAAGGAATGTGATTACTACAGAGGAGAAATGCATTACTCAATAAACTTAATAGTCAAGCAAGTGTATATAAAATGTATATCAATATTATCACTGGGGGGATGCAGAGAATGAACACTGTGTACTGGTTGCTGATGCAACAAACAGCTGGATTTACTACTGTGGAACTCCATAAGTTTGAAACAGGATTCCTTAGATAAATAGAAATGTTATTTTAGCCCTTAGAGAATTATGTTCCTTTATAAGGAAAACCAAAATTAAAAAAAAAAAAAAAAAAAAAAAAAAAAAAAAAAAAAAAAAAAAATACAATTTTTTGGAATTAATTTTAAGTCAGTTGCTCAAAACTTAGAAATCGTTTTTCCATACACCTCCATGTTATAATTGACAATACACTCTTGAGTCATAATATTCTCTATCTAATTTATATATTTTTTATCTAAGAATATTTTTCCCACAATTTACATTGTGTTGCTTCCTTTCACTCACAAATAGTAAAAAATGTTTAATAAAAAGAACAAAGCTAAGTACAGTATACATAGTACATCTGTGTTGGTGCAGGCAGCAGCTGGACTGGGGAAGGGGAGGGTAAAAAAGCGGGAATAATGGTTATACACAAATAACCCACACATAGGAGAAAGAAACTCATGATGATGTTTCAGTCCATCTTGGGCCATTAACCCTGTCAGGGTCGGATCCTCTGATCTGAGAATTGCTCTCAGGGTTGAGGAATTTAAAAGAAAACTTTTTTTTATTAAATGATAATCTTTTTCTAAAGATAATGAAACCAAAGTGTGAAATTTAATGGAAAACTTACGGAATTTCAGTCTCGGTGATATTTATGCATCGGTGATTTCACCCATTTTGAGTCCTATTTTAGGCCAGTTCCATTATTCCAGTCGAACAAACTCATAACTATTTCACTAGCATTCCTTACATTCTATTGACTGAGTACAAAATATGCCCATTTACTTCAACTACTCAAAAAAGTGATCAGAAATCAAGAATTTGGCCAATTTCACACAAAATTTAAAAAACTGATAATTTATAAATAGGGTCCATAATAAGCAATGTCGACATTCCTGGCACCAAAAAAAAAAATTTCCTCTATTCATCAGTTACATCCGTAGGCCTCTCCTATATATTTGCTTTCCATTTTGAATTCTTATTCACACAAAAAATAGAAGATTTACTGTTATGCAGACTACCTAATTATTGTAAAAACTGTATAATGTCAGCACATTCCTGAACGCTTATTAGACCAACCAGTTGGATGCGTACTGGACAAGTGACGTAACTTTTGTACTCTGGAATATCAGTAAAAATCGAACATTTCCAACAATTTGAGCTTAGTTTCAAGCTACTTAAAGTCCTAAAACCAATCAAAATCATCTTTATTTCTGTAATATATCTTCCATTCTATTAAATGAGACAAAGAAACCAAGAATATAACCATAAAATCATACAAAAATACACTGCAAAGTTGCTATTTTAAACCAAAAATACAGTCAGGGTTCTTTTCCCATTATGCACTGCCTCATGCAGTGCATAATGGAAAAAATTTACCACAAACAGTTTGAATGAGCGGAGCTCATCACGTAGTTCTACAGCACTGACCCAGAGTTTAAACAGTAGTACTGCGGCACCAACCTCAAACTGGTTAATTGGTCAGTGTGACTAGTTAGTGGTCCAAGTTGGGCCAAAACATCATAGGTTTTTTTCCTATCTGCAGGTTATTTGTGTATTGTTTTAGTCATGGTATTGTGCCTTTTTGTTCTTTAACCCTCTGAGGGTCCATCCTGTAGTTCTATGGCTTTGAAGCCAGGGTCCAAGCCGTAGTACTGTCATGAGCTCGGCTCACTCATTTAAGCTGTGAGCGGTAAGTTTGGGCCTAGATATGAGAGCATGCATCTATGTGGTAAGTGTGCACCATATAAAACAAATCCTGCGGCACGCAGTGCATAATGAGAAAAAAACGGTGACCGTGTTTTTGGATTAAAACAGCGACTTTACGGTGTATTTTCATATGCTTTTTACAGTTTATTCACAGTTTCTTGGTCACATTTGATAGAATGGAATATATATTACAGAAATGGAGATGATTTTGATTGGTTTTAGTACTAAAAATAGCTTGAAGTTGAGCTCAAAGTAGCAGAAATGTTCGATTTTTGCCAATGTTCAAGAGTAAACAGATCACATCATGCTTCCAATGCATGTCAACTGGTGGGTCTAATTTGCATTCACAAATGTGCTGATTATGGTAGTAGGTTGGTAGACAGCAACCACCCAGGGAGGTACTACCGTCCTGCCAAGTGCATGTAAAATGAAAGCCTGTAATCGTTTTACATGATGGTAGGACTGCTGGTTTCCTTTCTTCTGTCTCATAAATATGCAAGATTTCAGGTACATCTTGCTACTTCTACTTACACTTAGGTCACACTACACATACATGTACAAGCATATATATACACACCCCTCTGGGTTTTCTTCTATTTTCTTTCTAGTTCTTGTTCTTGTTTATTTCCTCTTATCTCCATGGGGAAGTGGAACAGAATTCTTCCTCCGTACACCATGTGTGTTGTAAGAGACGACTAAAATGCCAGGAGCAAGGGGCTAGTAACCCCCTTCTCCTGTATATATTACTAAATGTAAAAGGAGAAACTTTCGTTTTTCCTTTTGGACCACCCCGTCTCGGTGGGATACGGCTGGTGTGTTGAAAGGAAGAAATGTACCGATATTATTTATACAATTACATATATTACAATATTGCATAACAGAAAATCTATTTTTTGGTTTGAATAAAAATTCTTTTTGTGAATAAAAAATCAAAATGGAATTCATCTGTATAGCCTGGAAATATAATTAAGAAACAGAGGAAATGTTAGTTTAGTGCCAGGAATGCCTGCATTGTTTATTCTGGACCCTATTTTGAAATTGGAATATTTTGAACTTTGTGTGAAATTGGCCAAATTAACAAATTCTGATCACTTTATTGGGTAGTTGAAATAGTTGATTGGGCAGTTTTTGTGCTCAGCTGATAAAATAGAAGTGATACTAGTGAAACAGGAAAGAATTTGGTTGGCTGGAGCAATGTAATGGGCATAAAATAGGAGTCAAAGTTGGGAAAATTGCTGATGCGTAAATATCGCTGACACGGCAAAATTCGCGATTGCATAATTTTGTCAAATTTCCATCAAATTTCATACTTTCTGTTTAATTACCGTCAGAAAAATATTCTCTACCATTTCATAAGAATTTTTTTTTTTTTTTTTTTAATTCTTGGACCCTATGGACAAATTTCAAACTGGGGGTCTGGACCCTGAAAGGGTTAAGGATGGTTCAGTAGTATAGGAGGGTGCAGCAAGCTCCCACTGTCCTTCACCTCACATAACACTTCCAGCAGATAGTCATAGCTATCACTAGCTAGGTGTGAGTTGGATTTGCCCAGCATGGGCCAGTCGGCTTAACAATATTGTATTTATTCAGTCTAAAGCTATTAACCAATCTCTACCCAATAAACAAGAACTTTTCAAACGTGCATGATCTAAACATAAACTATCAGTGCAATTTTATGAAAGAGAGCTGATAAAAAATTATTTTAAATAATTTGTCTGATTATTAGTTATGATAATATCTGCAGATCAGTGCTCATAAGTCATTAACTTGTTCTAAAATGCCCTGATTGTAAGTGCAGATCATTGTTTGTCAGATCACCAAGTTTGGGGCCTAGTGTACAAAAGATACAATAATTTTTTTTATTTTTTTACATGCATAAATAGTGTTTTAAGGCATAACTAATCTGGAGTGTTGAAATTCTGAAAGCATCTGCCAAGTGTGTTTTTTCTTTTTTAAAGTCAAGCACATTAAGACAGTTAAACATGTTTTTGTTAAACTCAGTCTGAGTATTATTACACACATTCAGACTGGTATATACACTTTGTACCCAACATGAAAAAGTCAGTGTGCTAATGACCTGTCTCAGTAAATTCAAGATATAGGCTTAGAAATGTATACACCACACAGATGCCAGAGCTTGTTTGGAGAGGTGGGCACAAACATATAGATGAACATTACTAAGAGTACTGTAATATTACATGCATTATCATGGAAAAAGTGTTAAACTTCTAAAGATCATGCAGAGCCTTGGAAATTAGAGAAAATCAGGTTTGATCTAAGAAAGGGAAGGTAGCTCCAATTCCTTGGATCAAGAGTCATTTTCAAACATCACTAAAAATGACTGGGGTGTTCAGGGTGTATTGAATAATGTTAGAGCACATTGCAGAGACACTATACTGAAAATAATTTAAAACTGTCTGTGCATATTACTCTGAAATTAAAAGCTGGCAAGATATTAATTTATCTAGCTTTACACTGATAGTTCACCAACCTTGCCTCTAATAGAAGCATGAAGAACATGATGTATGTGAGCACAGGTGGACCTAAAGCTTTGTAACACCTGAGAATGGAATGGTGGTGGAGGCTGGGTAGCAGATGGTGAGACAGGAGAGACTGATGGAGACACAGTAGAAGGCTCAGACTGAATTATAACTCCTTCTCCCACCTCAAGCTGCACTAGATGAAACAACACACCATCTTTTCCACATGTAACTCTAGAACAAGAATGTCATTTATAAGTACCATACATATAACAGTAATAGTGTGCATACAGTATCTTATTAAAAATTAAAACATCTATAAGTGATTTATTTTATAAATCAACTATATTTTTTTTTTCAACAAGTTGACTGTCTCCCACTGAGGCAGGGTGACCCAAAAAGAAAAAATCCCCAAAAAGAAAATACTTTCATCGTCATTCAACACTTTCACCTCACTCATACATAATCAGTTTTTGCAGAGGTGGTGGGGCTTGAATCGGGTGCTTGCCTAACTAAGAACCAAGCATCTCTTTCAGCATTAATGGATGGGATATTTTCCCTTTTGTTTCAATTTGCTGACACTTGAATCAAATGACAAAGAACAAAATAATGACAAGGAATAAGGAATATTAAAAATACTTTGAATAGTTTTAACTTGCTTTCTAAGTATGATTCAGGTGTTATGAGAGTGAACTGGTCACAATGATAGCAAGCTGTTAATGTTAAAAGTGAAATGCATCTAAAATGCTGAATAACCAAACTGTTCTAGTTCTGATAAATAAAATAAATCAAAAACAAGTTTTAAGAATGAAAAAACACTCTTCTGTAACTGGTTTATGAATCACTATAGGCTGCACATATCAAGACACATGGAAACTAAGATACTAGAACATTTCTCTTCACAAAAAATGGGATCCTGGAGAAGTTAGACTAAACTCTGAAAACAGGACACCATGAGGAAAGCTGTTCCTATAACTACAAATACTTAATCAAAATACAGTAGGAAATTCCACTACTAACAATATGCTAAAGAAGACCAGCACTAACCTTACGGGTGAGACGGGCTGTCTGTGATGTGGGCTCTTTATATCCAAATCATACTGGTGAAGGCCTGGGTTCTCAGCAGGCTAAGGGTAAAATGACAAACTATAAAACCCTACATTAAAATTAAAAACAATCCTCTAGACAGAGTACATGCAGCAACCTTCTTCCAATGCTTATGACACTTTCAATATTGATAAGCTGCTAAAAATATGTGTTAATTCCCTCTTAACTAAAGACATTGGGAAAAAATTGCCACAAATACATATCCTACTCTGGTGGTTTCCAAAACGTGCTTGAGGAATTGATTGAAAATTCTACCATCACACTGCTATGCTTGTGATATACCTGTCATCATTTTCAAGAGTTTTACTACCTTACCAGCTTGGCTTTCTTGTTAAGTGCCTGTTCAACAGCTTAAACAAAATAACTTGAGTCACAAAATCATAATGATACAATTGCAAACAAACCATACCACAGGCAGGGTATGGTTTTTTTAGACAAAATACAAATTATGAAGCAAGAATTAAATAATTACTGTACTACATCTCAACTTCAGTCTGGTTTCCTAATTATCAACAAATGACATTTACACTACGTACATAAAAACACACAAACTTACTTTAAATATTCTCCAATCAGACTCTAATTCATCATCACCTTCCTCATCCTCTTCTAATGCCAGAGATGAATCTTGAGAACTGTGTGTGAAGGAATCCTCACTGGTTTCTCCGAGGCTTCCTTCACATTCACATCCAGTATGGTCGTGTATATGCAACCTTGATTCAGGCAATGGTGATGACTTTTGCTTCAAAATTGAAGGGACATCTGGCAGCCTGAGCCCTCCTGTTTGTAGGAAAGTTGACAAGAGAGATATGACTGTATGTATATAAATGCATACATATTACAAAAAAAATGGCTATAACAATATCTTACAAATAGCACATAATAAATACTGTACATAGGCACTTTATTTTTTAATATACTGGCTGTCTCCCACCAAGGTAGGGTGATACACAAAAAGATGAAACATCTTCACCATCATTCACTTAGCAGCTATCTTGCCAGAAGTGTACAGACATCACAGTTCAATTAACCCTTCAGGCTACAACATTCCCCAACCTTCCTTCAGAGTACAGACACACACTCACTTCAGTAACTCAAGTCTAGGTAATCTGTTTCCCTGAAATCCATCATAAATGTTACCTTGCTCACACAAGAGCACATCATCAAAAAAAAAAAATAAATAGGTTACTGAAAGCAGTGAAGAGTTTTTACGAGGATAGTGAGGCTCAAGTTAGAGTATGTAGGAAAGAGGGAAATTTTTTCCCAGTAAAAGTAGGCCTTAGACAAGGATGTGTGATGTCACCGTGGTTGTTTAATATATTTATAGATGGGGTTGTAAGAGAAGTAAATGCGAGGGTCTTGGCAAGAGGCGTGGAGTTAAAAGATAAAGAATCACACACAAAGTGGGAGTTGTCACAGCTGCTCTTTGCTGATGACACTGTGCTCTTGGGAGATTCTGAAGAGAAGTTGCAGAGATTGGTGGATGAATTTGGTAGGGTGTGCAAAAGAAGAAAATTAAAGGTGAATACAGGAAAGAGTAAGGTTATGAGGATAACAAAAAGATTAGGTGATGAAAGATTGAATATCAGATTGGAGGGAGAGAGTATGGAGGAGGTGAACGTATTCAGATATTTGGGAGTGGAACGTGTCAGCAGATGGGTCTATGAAAGATGAGGTGAATCATAGAATTGATGAGGGAAAAAGAGTGAGTGGTGCACTTAGGAGTCTGTGGAGACAAAGAACTTTGTCCTTGGAGGCAAAGAGGGGAATGTATGAGAGTATAGTTTTACCAACGCTCTTATATGGGTGTGAAGCGTGGGTGATGAATGTTGCAGCGAGGAGAAGGCTGGAGGCAGTGGAGATGTCATGTCTGAGGGCAATGTGTGGTGTGAGATATAATGCAGAGAATTCGTAGTTTGGAAGTTAGGAGGAGGTGCGGGATTACCAAAACTGTTGTCCAGAGGGCTGAGGAAGGGTTGTTGAGGTGGTTCGGACATGTAGAGAGAATGGAGTGAAACAGAATGACTTCAAGAGTGTATCAGTCTGTAGTGGAAGGAAGGCGGGGTAGGGGTCGGCCTAGGAAGGGTTGGAGGGAGGGGGTAAAGGAGGTTTTGTGTGCGAGGGGCTTGGACTTCCAGCAGGCATGCGTGAGCGTGTTTGATAGGAGTGAATGGAGACAAATGGTTTTTAATACTTGACGTGCTGTTGGAGTGTGAGCAAAGTAACATTTATGAAGGGATTCAGGGAAACCGGCAGGCCGGACTTGAGTCCTGGAGATGGGAAGTACAGTGCCTGCACTCTGAAGGAGGGGTGTTAATGTTGCAGTTTAAAAACTGTAGTGTAAAGCACCCTTCTGGCAAGACAGTGATGGAGTGAATGATGGTGAAAGTTTTTCTTTTTCGGGCCACCCTCCCTTGGTGGGAATCGGCCGGTGTGATAATAATAAATAATAAAATAAATAAATACAGTGGAACCTCGTTACTTGAACAGCTCCCTACTCAAACAATTTGGTATTCAAATGCTTTGTTCAGCAAAAAAAAAATCGCTCGGCAGTTGACTGTTTGCTCGGCACTCAACCAAACTAACACAACCTGCCAGAACTTCACTGTAAACTATTTCATGTTTCTTCGTATTTTTGTTTTTTTTTATATTATCTGTATAAATAAGTCACCATGGGCCTAAGAAGACTAGTGATAACAGCCATCCAAAAAGAAAATTGGAACCTCAGTACAGTGGACCCCCGGTTTACGATCAGCTCCCAATGCGACCAATTATGTAAGTGTATTTATGTAAGTGCATTTGTACATGTAAGTTTGGGGTCTGAAATGGACTAATCTAATTCACAATATTCCTTATGGGAACAAATTCGTTCAGTAATGGCACCTGAACATACTTCTGGAATGATATAATATAGTAAACCGGGGGTCCACTGTACAGTGGACCCCTGGTTCACGATATTAATCCGTTCCTGAGAGCTCATCGTAAACCAAAATTATCGGAAAGCGAATCAATTTTCCCCATAAGAAATAATGGAAATCAAATTAATCCGTGCAAGTCACCCAAAAGTATGAAAAAAAAAACTTTTACTACATGAAATATTAAGTTTAATGCAATATAATAATTACAATAACAATAATAACAATAGAATAATCACAATAGAATAATTGACACCTTTAATGAAGATGTGGTGATGATTGATGGGATGGGAGGAGGGGAGAGTGTCGAAGTTTTTAATGTTTAGAAGGGGAATCCCCCTCCATTAGGACTTGAGGTAGCAAGTCCTTTTCCGGGGTTACTTCCCTTCTTCTTTTAATGCCACTAGGACCAGCTTGAGAGCCACTGGACTTCTGTCGCACAACATATCTGTCCATAGAGGCCTGTACCTCTCGTTCCTTTATGACTTTCCTAAAGTGGTTCACAACATTGTCAGTGTACAGGTTGCCAACATGGCTTGCAGTAGCTGTGTCAGGGTGATTTTCATCAAAAAAGGTTTGCACTTCAAGCCACTTTGCACACATTTCCTTAATTTCAATAGTCATTAGCACCCTTGGTCTCAATGGGTTGGCACTAGAAGCTTTCTTGGGGCCCATGGTGACTTATTTAGCAGAAACAAGCACCAAAAACAGTGATAATATGGATAATATGGAATGTATCCTTAGATGCGCACACATTGGCTGGCTTGTAAACACTGGCACACACGGGGCAGTTCAGGCCACATGTGGACACGTCTCATACGAATCGTATCGCATACCGGGCTTTGTAACGGGAACTGAGGCAAATTTTTTGCGATATAATGCTTCGGATACTGGATTTATCAGATACCGATGGCTTCGCGAACCGGGGGTCCACTGTACTCGAGTACTGAGGTTCCACTGTAGTGATAAAATGACAGACATTACAACACCTTCAACTACAGTGTTATACTATTTTACCAGATATCTTTCTCAGACATCCTACTGTGAAAATTTACTTATCATTACATTAATGAAAACACTCATGAGAGTGGAAAGAAAACTGAGCATTGTTAGCAGTTGACAGAATGTGAAACAACAACAACAGTTGGTATAATGTGATAAAGCTCCTACTGAAGACCACAAAACCCCTCTTCCCACCTCCATGAGGAACCGTCTTTTCATGGTAAGAGGACTGATTGCAGGCTCCACATATGCCATGAGCTAAATGTGCTGTGAATTCCTATGCTATGGATGGAGTAACTAGGTGAAGCCTTGGTGTTTGCTGTTTTTAAAGATCTGTATTTTTTATTGTATGCTGTCCTTACAGATCTGCATTTTTATTATAATAATAATAATTGTAGATCTGTATCGTGGAAGCTGAGCCTACCCCACAAGCTATGGCTCGTCACCAGAGAGCACATTTTTTTGGTGGGTAGGTAGGTAATATGACAGTAATGATAATTACTGCTGTCCCTCAACAGATCCCTATAATGATTTGCAAAACAGCAAAATTTTAATGACCCTTTTCAATAGCCATTTATTATGGTAACTTAAGAGAACCTTCTTCCCCTTCACTTGACCTTCAAATTGTCTTTAATTGAACTATGGAAATCACTGTACTCATCTGCTTCCCAGCTTGAAGTTATTCACCATCAAAATTTAGGTTTGTGTTTACCAAATAGTGTTCCTTTTTTACAAGCTTTCCCTGATACCCAGCAAATATCTGCTGAGTACTCAAGCCCTATGATAAGACTTCTGCACACACCTTACAACATCTGTTGGATAGCTCATACGTATTTTCTACAAAATCCTCATTCCATTGTAAATAATCAAACCATCTCAACATCCCCTCCTCTGCTTTAATTTTGCAGCTCTTATTCTCTGCATAATATTCCTACCAAATATTGAGCTTACACACATGGCTACTGCTTCCAGTCTCCACCTCCCTACAACATTTAAAGCAGAAGCCTCACATTCATATGAAAAAAATTTTTGCAGGGAAGGGATAGGTGAATAAGGATGGTAATAAACAGACTAGATTATTTATTTTTTTCTTGGATGTTTTTTGAAAAAATGCATTGATGTTTGTATATGACTGGCTGGTACATGTGTGGTGTACTCCTATTTTTTTAATCCATCAAGAAATGTGATTGATTGATTTTGCCTAGTCATGCATTGTTTAATTAATTGATTTTGCCTAGTTATGCATTGTTTAATTAATTGATTTTGACTTGTTATGTGTTGTTTAATTAATTGATTTTGCCTAGTTATGCATTGTTTAATTAATTGATTTTGCCTAGTTATGCATTGTTTAATTAATTGATTTTGCCTAGTTATGCATTGTTTAGTCTCAAATTCTGGGAAATTCAGTAGTCAGGCAAGTCCCCTGGCTCCAACCATATGGGAATTGTGGTGCCTAGTCGTAGTTCTTGACACTATTAATAGATTGACATCACTAACCACAACATCTAAGTCTACAGTGTTGTTAATTATGTTTACTGAATATACACAATAAAGTCAAATCCCTAAATTCACTAAGCATCTAGTGGTTTCCATGAATTTAGAATCCAAGAGTGGCACTAAATTCTGCTAATTTAATAAATTTCAATTCATATTTTGTTTTGGAGGCAACATCTCTCTATTTCTCTTATGTGGTTAATACTGACATTCATAAGAAAGTCCATAATGATGAGAAATTTGGAAGTGGGAAATTCAGTGAGCACATTTTGAACAAAGTCCTATGGTTAGATGAATTTACAGGATGTGTGCCACACCAAAATGAATGAGCACAACAAAAATAAAAAAATTAATAATTGAAGCTACTCACAGGAGTCCCTTCAGTAAAACAATGGATAAAGCACTGTTACAAAAAATGTGATATCTAATAAGCATAGCGATCTCCAGTGAATACTAGAAAGGACTGCCCCTCTAGCATCCAGCCTGTTACTGGGTTTTTGTAACAAGCAGTCAGTATCCTGGTACAATTATCCATTAGAATTTAATAGTAAGATTCAATAGTGCTTCAGGATTACAACTGGTAGGCTACTAGCTATAGAAATTAAAATTTAAGAGGTTTATTAATAAAGATAAAGTTGTCTAGGTGGACAATATCAAAGTACATCAAAGTAATCAATTTAATATAATAGTATAGGATACAAGTTCCTACACTTCTCTCGTGTACAGTAGTATTGTGCTGAAGGCACATATCATATCTTAATGGCTTTTAAGTACCGTCTGGTACATTGTCAGCATTTAAGAGCATAATACTAATATATACAAGTGTGTATGTGTGTAAGTGCTCTAAGTAGTTCACTATGCCTCAAGACTCGATTAGACTTAACCAGTGACTGACTAAAAGTCCTCACATAAACTAACTTCTTGACCAACCTGGCAATCAGAACAGCTTGCTTGAACAGTAAAATAACCGATTCACCGAACAGCAATATAACAAGCAGCAGCAACACAGAATCAGGAACAAGGATATAACATAACGACCCTAAGAAGGGACCATCTGCAGATCCTCCAAAAAAGTCACAAAACTCCCATGCTACTGAATCTAAGTTCAGCATAAGAAAATCCCCGACTGTGACGGTGCACAGATACCAGTACAAATTAGGTCAGAAGCTACAGCTCAGGACCTGAGTTTCTCAGAGTGTCAGTGTGACACACAACCTCAGTAAAACGCCGAAAATCACTAAGTCTAGGCTATGCTCTGTGAACAGAGTTACACAGAACTAACAACAAGAGAGAGCAACAGAGATGGTGTTCCAACAAGGGCCAGCAAGGGAGAGCTGGAGAGGGAGGTGTTGGAATCATTGTCAAACAGAGAGAGAGCATTAGCAAAGGCAAGGCAGTCTCTCACCCAGGTGAGGTGTGATCACCCCACCTTGATCACGTGACTCTCCGTGGACTGCTGCTGCCCAGCAACTACAGAAAAGCTGGCAGCGAAACAAGCGGGGTGGTAGTTACAGTAGTTAGACAATGCGGCAGCTACTTAACACTCTCAAGCAATGGGCACTTAATAACATATAAATGTTACATCCTACCTAATAATATAACGAAGTCAAAAAATAATATAAAGCAATATATTTACGATTTAGCTAATATCGCAAATATCAGCAATATAAAATTATATGAACAGGTAATATACATTATATACATTGTGACCCATTCAGGGGTCACAATAAGCACACAAACCTGGATGTTGAAAATTTGCAAATTCTTCTGTACCATAATAGAAAATTATACAATAAAACCTCTCATTAACCCTTAAACTGTCCAAACGTAGATCTACATCCACGTGCGGGGAGCTCCGAACATAGATCTACGTTTTTTCACATGCTTTCAAATGGGGAAAATCAAGGTCGAAGCGCTATGCACGTGAATGTAGATCTATGTTTGGACAGTTTAAGGGTTAATGATCTAATAAGGGGTGGGGGGGTTATGATAATGCTGATTGTCCACAACTCCAAAATTATGAAATTCATATTTCATGATCATCTGATTGTCTTTTGAAGTTGTGCACTTGGTCTACTAATGCAAAAAACAACTGGACATTAAGAATATGGGCATTGCAACCTACAGTAATTTTACTTACCTTTTTGTGGGGGAAAGATGAGGAGTCAGAGGAACAGTAAAGCTCTACTAGCAAAAATGTAGATGACTGAGACAATGTATAGGGCTTAGATGTAAAGAGCTGAGTAGATGTAGATGGCTAAGAAGATGTAAATTTTACATAGACACCACCACTTGCTTTAGAAGCCATTGTTAATTGCATGTTATTTAATAACCAGACACCAGACACAAACATCTCTATGACATTCCCTGTGTTCAACTAAACCTTTAAAAAAATTCAATGTATTTCAAAGGACCTAAAATCTGGAACACCCTACCTGAAAACTCTAGAACTGCAGACACATTCATCACTTTCAAAACTACAGTTAGAAAACATCTTATCTCCCTGATCCACCCCAACAACTAACTACATGATAGCCACCTGGTAGTTCACAATTACACTCACTCACCCACTGACTATAAACCCAGAAATACTAATCTTAATCTTAAAATAATAAATCCTAACTACCCATAAGTTTGCCTATGATACAACAATATAGACACTTTATATTGTGCCAAAACAAAAGCATTCACATTGCTAAACTCACAAATTATGATGTAGTCACTTAGCCTTAATACCATAATCTGTAAGGATTTAATGTTAAGAATTAATCTAAGTCTGCTCGAAATGCCTAGCCATGCTAGGTGTCCTAGTGGCCCCCTCTGTAATTAGTATTTTATAACATGTAAACCACACAATACCCAAAACCTGTAAACCCCACATTGTAACCCTTATAGAGAATAAACTTGAATTGGATTGAATTGAATTGAATTGAATATGTTAATAAAGTCACACAAAATGCTATAAATCCAGGGAAAATTAGAGACTGAATGAAGAGTGTATATGTGAGTGAGCACAAACAATAAACTGGTATGGCTGACCTATAGCTCGGGGAAGAATGAAAACAGATAGGTCCTGAACATGGTTGTTTTGGCCCATACAGGACAAACGTCAGAGTCATTGGATTTGGTCTGATACTTCAGAAGATAACGTGACAAAATGCAGAATTATAGACTTTTATCCAATTTATTCAATAATCAGATCATTTGTTAAGCCAACTTTTTGGTCTAAAATTGCTGAAATCCATTAATGAGAGGTTTTACTTTACAATTTTGAACAAATAATCCAACACTAATTTACCTTCTACAACTTCATTTCTATCCTTTGCTTTCTTGCTTGGCGTCACTCTCCCAAATTTATCGTCTGCAGCAATAGTTTCAATACCACCATTCATTAAGCTACAGGGAGAAAAAATTCCCAGCTGTAATCAAATTCACTTTGCAAACTGTCTTAGATGCATAATGGTAATATCAACATTTGGAATTTAAATTTGTGTAACAGTGTCTGTGATGGTGTGAGCAATTGTTAACCCTTTCACTGTTGAGACCCCTGCTCACAAACTTGCTCTCAGTGTCGAAAAATATCCCCCCCCCCCAAAAAAAAAAATGATTTTTCTTACCAAAATCTTAAAAATAATTTTCAGAGTGTTATAAAAGAAAAAAAAATTGCAACCAGTAGTTACTGAGATATAGAGGCATGAAGTTGACAGAAAGTGAACTGCTGACAGCAACATCGGCAACTGCCGCTCACTCGGTAATATTATTTTTACTTTTATTCTGTTTTTTCTTTTCTAATACGTTATTTTTTCAAGTAACTTTTGTGGCCTGTGAGACCAATATAATGCATACTGTATATTGTATCCACTCATATGCAACACAATAAATGCACAAATACGTATTATCATTATACTGTTTATAAAACTTGTTTCACAAACCAACAATTAAAAAAAGTTGTTTATTACTATTGTTCTATAATATGTATACACATGTAGAGTCACTGGACACGTTCCTAGAAGTGCTGCAGTTTGTGGAACGCTTTGAAACATGGTGTTATGCACAGTGATGTTTTACTCCTCATATATAAAACGAGTGTCTGTGCGTTTTTGTGGGCGGGTTGTTGTGGTTGTCCAGGTTGTTGTGGTGTGTGGGTGGTTGAAGGTGGCCTTTGTTGTGGATGTGCTGAGTCAGTAGCATGGCTACCAACCTGGGTTGCCGCTGGTGCCACATGATGCATTATACCACCGCCACCTGGTGCCGCATGTATATTATCCATCCCAACTATAACATTACCCATACTGTCTTCCCCACTGCCCACGCTGTCTTACCCACTGCCCATGCTGTCTTCCCCACCACCCATGCTGTCTTCCGTTTTCACTATCTGATCCTGGTGGGATGTACTCCGAGATGTACTCCTTCCCCTTGGAATAGCATATGGCACACTACAAGAATGCACGTAGTCTCGTATAAATTGACACTTCACTGGAGAATATTCCTCTTCATTGTTGCTACTGGAATTGTAATCAAGAGCTTGGAAATCACAATCAGTATCAATATCATGACCACTGCTCACATCTGAGTCCTGGACATGGGAAAATATGAGTTCCCTCTTTCGCCGTGGTACACTTGAACATGAACAAGACGGCCCAGCACCAGAGTTGGAAGGCTGATGGTTGTCTGGGTTTTCAACACTATTTCTGGTATCCTGGACATTGCTTTCGGCCACAAACTCCTCAAAACCACAAAATTCATCTTCACTGACACTTCCAACTGTGTTAGAACTATCACTTGGTTAGAGAAGAGTCCCAATTCACCGGGGAGTGAGGTATTCCTTACCTCTAGGCATGGTGAACAGGGCGTACTGAATTGTTATTCCCATGATGCACTGTGGACTCCCAGATTTTTTTTTATACAGCGCACACTAAGAACACAGACCCATTCTCTCACATGTAGGCCTACCAACTTTTTCCCGCCAGATCTGAAGTCGCTAGAATTTTGGCGTAGTATTATGGGACCAACACTGACTTGCAAGCCGTAATATTATGGGACTGACAGTGAAAAGGTTAAGTAGGTTTGTGTAGATAACACAAATGTACTGTGGTGCAAACTAAGCTTCACAAGTATCACTCTTCTCTGTAGGGAAACCATTATAAAATAATATGGCTGCATGTAACCATTTTTAAATTTTACAAAACTAATGGCATACAGATAATTAATAAGCAGTACAAAAAGCACTTGTACCAGTGTGCAACTGATGAATTTTTTTTCCTATGGGTCAATGAGTGTACACTATGTGCATTTTATCATTCTAGGGCACTTTAACCCTTTGACTGTCGCAACCCCCAATCCTGAGGCGTCTCCTGGTGTCGCAAAATTTAAAAAAAAAAAGTTATTTTTTCTTATGAAATGATAGAGAATCTTTTCCCGGTTGTAATGACACCAAAAAAATGAAATTTGATGGAAAACTGACGGAATTATGCTCTCGCAAAGTTAGCGACCTCGGCGCTGTTTACAAATCGGCGATTTCACCCAATTTGAGCCCTATTTTCGGCTAATTCCATTGTTCCAGTCGCCCAAACTCATAGCTATTTCTTTAGAACTCCATTTTTTCTATCGATTGAGTACAAGAAACTGCCCATTTACCGATTTCAACTACCTAATAATGTGGTCAGAAATTTGCAATTTGGCCAATTTCACGAAAACTAAAAAATATGACAATTTCAAAATAAGGTCCAGAATGAACAATGCAGACATTCCTAGCTCTAAAATAACATTTTCTTTGCTCATCAGTCATGTCTCCAGGCCCCTCTGATATTACTTTTGCTTTCTATTTTGAATTTTTATTCAAACAAAAAATAGAAGACTTACTATTATGCAGACTACTGCAATACTGTAATAATTGTATAAATAACATCAACCCATTCATGACTGCATATTAAAATGGCTAGTTGGACATTTATTGGACAATGGCATCATTTGTTTACTCTTGAACATTGGCAAAAATCAAACATTCCCCTACTTTGAGCTCCATTTCTAGGTTCTTTTTATAGTAAAATCAATCAAAATCACCTCTATTTCTATAATATGTTTTCCATTCTATCAAATGAAACCAAGAAAACGAGAATACAACCATAAATAATATACAAAAATAGACCACAAAGTCGGCATTTTAATTAAAAAAAAACGGTCGGAGTTTTTTTTTCTCATTATGCACTGCGTGCTCCAGGATTTTTTTATATGGTGCACACTGACCACACAGACCCATTCTCTCACATGTGGGCCTACAAGCTTTCTCCTGATTGATTTGAAGCCGCTAGAATTTATGAGTATATATACGTCAAACACGGTACCTCGTAAGACGTATATATACGGCCGCGACAGTCAAAGGGTTAAATGTCATAGAATATTATGTGTGGGTGGGTTGGCCAGGTGGGCTACCATACCTACCACACCTGACAATAAACACTTCTCACTTCTCACCCTACATTAAGACTACAAATATTTTGAGGTAAGTAATGAGTGTATTGTGTGTGTTTTTACTTTTTATGTTTTTTAATGCCTAGTTCTATTGCTAATTTTATATATGTTAGTATAAACTTATTATCTGACATTTATAAGTGGAAAAAATGGCGTTCTGCTTTATGGCGATGTCCGTTTTCCGGCAGTAGCCTGGAACCTAACCTGCCATGTAAGTGGGGCTCTACTGTATATAATGAGATACACCACCTCTCAAAGCATACATGGATACATGCATACATGCATATTTTTTTTTTCAACAAACCGGCCGAATCCCACCAAGGCAGGGTGGCCCAAAAAGAAAAACGAAAGTTTCTCTTTTTAAATTTAGTAATTTATACGGGAGAAGGGGTGACTAGCCACTTGCTCCTGGCATTTTAGTCACTTCTTACGACACGCACGGCTTACGGAGGAAGAAATCTGTTCCACTTCCCCATGGAGATAAGAGGAAATAAACAAGAACAAGAACTAGAAAGAAAATAGAAGAAAACCCAGAGAGGTATGTATGTATATATATGCTCGTACATGTATGTGTAGTGTGACCTAAGTGTAAGTAGAAGTAGCAAGACGTACCTGAAACCTTCCATGTTCGTGAGACAGAAAAATTGACACCAGCAACCCTACCATCATGTAAAACAATTACAGACTTTCGTTTTACACTCACTTGGCAGGACGGTAGTACCTACCTGGGTGGTTGCTGTCTACCAACCTACTACCTAGGATGCATGCATATATATACATCTTTCTTTCTTTCAACACACCGGCCGTATCCCACCGAGGTGGGGTGGCCCAAAAGGCAAAACGAAAGTTTCTCCTTTCAAATTTAGTAATATATACAGGAGAAGGGGTTACTAGCCCCTTGCTCCCGGCATTTCAGTCGCCTCTTACGGCACGCATGGCTTACGGAGGAAGAATTCTGTTCCACTTCCCCAAGGAGATAACAGGAAATAAACAAGAACAAGAACTAGAAAGAAAATAGCAGAAAACCCAGAGGGGTGTGTATATATATATGCTTGTACATGTATGTGTAGTGTGACCTAAGTGTAAGTAGAAGTAGCAAAACCTACCTGAAATCTTGCATGTTTATGAGACAGACAAAAGACACCAGCAATCCTACCATCATGTAAAACAATTACAGGCTTTCGTTTTACACTCACTTGGCAGAACGGTAGTACCTCCCTGGGCGGTTGCTGTCTACCAACCTACTACCTAGGATATATATATACATGAAAATACTTTCATCATTCAACACTTTCACCACACTCACACATTATCACTGTTTTTGCAGAGGTGCTCAGAATACAACAGTTTAGAAGCATATACGTATAAAGATACACAACATATCCCTCCAAACTGCCAATATCCCAAACCCCTCCTTTAAAGTGCAGGCATTGTACTTCCCATTTCCAGGATTCAAGTCCGACTATATGAAAATAACCGGTTTCCCTGAATCCCTTCACTAAATATTACCCTGCTCACACTCCAACAGATCGTCAGGTCCCAAGTATCATTCGTCTCCATTCACTCCTATCTAACATGCTCACGCACGCTTGCTGGAAGTCCAAGCCCCTCGCCTACAAAACCTCCTTTACCCCCTCTCTCCAACCCTTTCGAGGACGACCCCTACCCCTCCTTCCTTCCCCTATAGATTTATATGCTTTCCATGTCATTCTACTTTGATCCATTCTCTCTAAATGACCAAACCACCTCAACAACCCCTCTTCTGCCCTCTGACTAATGCTTTTATTAACTCCACACCTTCTCCTAATTTCCACACTCCGAATTTTCTGCATAATATTTACACCACACATTGCCCTTAGACAGGACATCTCCACTGCCTCCAACCGTCTCCTCGCTGCTGCATTTACCACCCAAGCTTCACATCC